AATGTGATGAGCCTGATATGCAGGTGTGAAAGTGATAGAGCCCAAAAGTGACTTGAAAGCTCTGTAGCAGAGTAAGTAACTATGAGTATCCCAGATCCAAAGGCTTCATGAAGAAGGTAGAATGGAAATTAAGCCTGGGAGATTCAATAATACGCTCATGATGGGTGAGACTACCTGTTATGTGACATAGGGGATGCACAGAAGCTTAATGATGTGAGTAGTCTCCTGCATAAAACACACAAGTGTCCAATGGAGAGGCCAGTATGGGCTTCAGTAATGAACTGGATCATCGAGATAATAAAAATGGATGCATTTGACTAGGGAAGGGATCTAGCAGCCACTGGTATCTTGTGAAAAGGCTCCTAACAAACCTGTGAAAAACATATTATCTGTATTTCACAGTTGAGAATGAGATTTCAGAAAGATGTGGTAATTTACATACTTCTCAAAAATGTTCTCCTAGGGCAGTGTACTCAAGCAATAGAAATAAAAGCAAGAATAAACAAATGGGACCTAATAAAACTTGCAAGCTTCTGCACAGCAAAGTAAACCATAAACAAAACAAAATGACAACCTACGGAATGGGAGAGAATTTTTGCAAAAGATGAAACTGACAAAGGCTTGATCTCCAGAATATATAAGCAGCTCACATGACTTAACAAGAAAAAAACAAACAACCCTATCCAAGAACAGGCAGAAGACCTAAACAAGCAATTCTCCAAGAAAGAAATACAAATCATAAATAGGCACATGAAAAAATGCTCAATATCACTAATTATCAGAGAAATGCAAATCAAAACTACAATGAGATATTACCTCACCCTAATCAGAATGGCCATCATTGAAAAGTCCACAAATGACAAATGCTGGAGAGGCTGTGGAGAAAAGGCAACACTCCTACACTGCTGGTGGGAATGAAGTTTGGTGCAGCCACTGTGGAAAACAGTATGGAGATTCCTCAAAAGACTAGGAATAGGCATACCAAATGACCCAGGAATCCCACTCCTGGCCATATATCCAGAAGGAATCCTACTTCAAAATGACACCTGCACCCCAATGTTCATAGCAGCACTATTTACAATAGCCAAGACATAGAAACAGCCTAAATATCCATTGACAGATGACTGGATAAAGAAGGTGTGGTATATTTATACAATGGAGTACTATTCAGCCATTAAAAGTGACAACATAACGTCATTTGCAGCAACATGGATGTCCCTGGAGAATGCCATTCTAGGTGAAGTAAGACAGAAAGAGAAAGAAAAATACCATATGAGATTTCTTATATGTGGAATCTAAAAGTGAAAGCAAAGGTGAAGAAGGAGGAGGAGGAGAAGAAGGAGGAGGAGGAGCACGAGGAAGAGGAGGGGAGAAGGAGAAGGAGGAGG